TCAGGGCCAAAAGGGGATCCTTAGAAGGAAATACCTTGTACAGACACGCTCATTCAGCACTTATCTTGGTGAAGCAAGACAGGTCCTTCTAAGCAACCACCTCAGCAGATGTTTGGAGCTGCTTTCTATTAGCCTCCACAGCAGAGGAGGTGCTAGAGCAGCAGCATTGATGTGAGGAGGCCAGCTTGGCACAGAGGGCTGAGTGCAAATAGCCATAGTGTGGAGAACTTGGAGTTATGCGCCTGTTTGTGTAAAACCCACCCCTGCGCTTCCAGTGCCTGTCTGAAATGAACATTCTAGTTCCATGTCCTAGAATCCCACTTGACTAGATGCTCTCAAAGAGGAAAGCAGAAGGAAACCTAAAGTCTTAAAGGGTTCCTTTTCTCTCCTTTCTTGGGCTCCTAGTGCCAGGGAGAGAAGAGTGTTTCTTTCAGTAGATTCATTCCTGAGAATCTTCTCAGGTCCAGGAACCAGGAGGCGGTGGAGTGGGGAATAAGTAGGACTTGTGGGCAGGGCATTAAATATGCTGGGATTGAGGTCAACAAATGTACCTACCCACCTCATACAACACCCCCTTACCCCCCTCAATTTATGCAAAACAAGGTGAACTAGGCTGCAGGGCCTGTGTTTAATTCCTATAAGGATTTGTCAGTTTTGTTGTAGATACTTCCTTAATTGAACGGGGACAGACCCACTCTGAAGACTGAATTTCAGGGGTGGGGCAAGTAAGAGGTTCAGGTACTTTGTTCTGAATGGCTTCTGAGGAACAAACACCTGTCCAAATTTCCCCTCTGTCACGGTCCTGGTCCTTCCGCTGCATTTGCCTCTAGCTCTCCCACAAAGGAGGAGGGAGAGGGTCAGTGTTTGGGTATATATGGAAAGGCCTGAAGCTGCAAGTTGAGGTATCCTTGGGAGACAGTTCTGCCCTTGAGGGTGGCCATGTGTCCTACCCAGAAACTCTGGAGTTGGAACCTTATCCTGGAGCCCAGAAGAGGCCTTTCCTACCTCAGGTCAAGTCCTAGCGCAGTTCTCACCAGGGTCAGAAACCTCTCCAGTGTGTGGTGGACTAGATGCTGCAAAGCCCGGCTTGGTAAGAGACACAGGCTTCCTGCTATAAACATGAGACAGTCTTCTGAAAAATTTACTCCCAAAAAGAAAGCTTAGAAAATAGTATGAGACCTTACCCTGTGCTACAATGGTGTAAAGACAACTAGATTCTAAGAATTTTACAATTCTTCTGTTTTCTAAATTGAATTAATGTTAAAATGTAGTATCATTTTGGGACTTTGACAGGTACATATGATTTGATCAGTGTAGTGTTGCCTGGCAACCAAACTCCTCAGGTGGTTTTACTTATACTGGGAAATTCATTGGACCATAAGTGCTGAGTATTGTGTTGAAGCACAAGACATTCAAAAGTAGGTACATCATGGTCCTACTCTCAAGTATCTCAAAATCTTAGTCTCTGGAAGAACAGGTTTTTTGGGGTTTTTTTCTTCCTTTTCTTCTTTTTAAGTAACATTAACATGTCTGTCATCTTTCTACACTATTCAGCTTTACCAGTTGAATGTAATTTGATTTGGGTACCAGCTCAGGTTTATTTTACAAGGTTCAGGGAAAAGAGCAGGTTTGTTACAATAGCACACCCTCTGGGGACCCAATATAATGATATGCAGTTTGTGCAAGAGTGTGGACCAGAAACTACCACAGGTTGGAAGAAGGCAGACCTTTGGTTTTAGAAATAGGAATATGAAGAGGCTGTTTTGAAAGCAAGAGGCTCTTAAGTGACAGCTGAGTATGGAGACCAGAGTGCACGACAAATAACTGAGATAGTAAGAGGAGTAAACAATATTTCGTGTAATGACAATACATCTCTTAAAGGGACATGTCTGGGAATACCAGTCCAGGGTATTTACCATCTAAGTGTACAAAACAAAAACAGACTTTGGCTTTTTCTTTCGAAGGAAAAGTAAAGTGTGGCTAACGTGTATTGCTTTCTTGTCCAGAACTTTTCAGATGAATATTTAGAGTTGTTCCAAAGGAGTTAGAAAATGTGATTTGGTTTCTGATTAAGCTGTGTAGAAATCTCCTTATTTGAAGAATTAGTTTTGGAAGATGGGAACAGTCATTAGTTGCATCTTCTTGAAATAACATAGCCATGGTCACCGGAAGGTAGGGAGGTGGTTTATAATAATGTAAAGGAGTTTTCAAAGTCATTGTTACTATGAATAGTCACATTAGAACACATGAATGCCCTGATAAAATACTAATAGCAACAACTACTTAAATATGTTTCTCTTTTAGTTTTTTACAGTATGAAGGAAATTTTTAAAAGTCCATTTATCATCCCAATTAATGAATTCTCTTCACCTTTCTGCATTACCTTCCAGGTTTTACTCAATGTACTCATATTCTTCATGTAGATGAAGCCAGGCTGCTCCTTGGAGGCAAGGATTCTGGGGCTTTGCCTGACATACTTTGGACATGTTGTGAGGAGAGACCGGTCCTTGGAGAGGGACATCATGCTTGGGAGGGTAGAGGGACGGTGCAGGAGAGGAAGGCCCTCTATGAGGTGGATTGATTCAGTGACTGGGGCAATCAGGATGGGTGTGTCAGAGGCAATGAGATTGGCACAGGATAGAGCACGGTTTAGGGCTGTTGTACATAGGGTCGCTATGAGTCGCAGATGACTCGACGGCACATAACAACAACAACAACAGATGAAATATTATTGTTGATGTATTTGTCAATATGGATGTGGACCTCAGCTATAGAAGGCTGAGTTAGCCACACTTCTCAGTTTATGGCTTGCCATCACTGGTTAGAGCTGAACTTTATTGTTACTTATTAGTAAATTCCCTTTTATGCTCATTTTATCCTGCCATTTCCTTCCTCATCTTGTCCCAGTATTTAACATATAGCCTTTTATTTGTACATGTCCCTGAAAATCTGTGTGATTGTTTTGTGTGCATGTATTTTTTTAAAGGTACATAAATGATGCTGGTTTGTGGATCCAATTACATCTCTCTTGATTTCAATCTTTTGCTTCTAATCTGTATTTCTAGACACCACTCTGTGGCATCCTGTGTGTGTCCTGTATGTATGTTTTACCTTCCAGCCCCCACGGCCACAGAGGCACCGTGATGACCAGTCTCAAGCATGTCACTTTATGGTCCTCGTAAGCGGGTCACCCGGGACCTCTACTAAATTTGCTCAAATGGCTGTTTCCATTCTTAGTAGCCGTTTCTATCTCTACCAATACAAGAATGACCCAGCATGTTCATTTTGCCCCAGAACAAAAATGGCGAGTGCTACCTCGTTTCAGTTTGCACTTTTTGGACAACTGTAAGTTGGAGCATCTGTCTATCTTTCCTTGTGACCCAGGAGAAATCATTTCATAGCCGACCCTCCACTGGGTTCTCAGAGGCTGTAAATTGCACAGAGGACATTGCTCATCTTTCTCGTGGAGCTGCTGGTGGTGGATTTGAACCACCAGAGACACACACGTTTGGGTTAGCAGCTCAACTCCCTACCCACTAGGGTCACCAGGGCCCCTCACCTTTTTGTAGTCAATATGCATGAGTCACGTTTGACTTGGTATCAGTGGATTTGGTTTGGGTTTTATCCACTTTTCTTTCTATCCATTGCAATATGTTTCTGTGGTTTTCTGAAGTCTGGAAAATACTCTCAGATAGGTTGATATACCAGGACTGTGATAATTGTAATAATTACGTTGAACTGTATGCAGCTGTCAATAAATGACTGATTTTTATGATAGCTTTTTTTTCCATTTTTATGAAGGTTTACAAAACATGCTTTTTCATTCAATCATTCATATACATTTTATTTTATAATATGAATTACAATACTCATGATGTAATCTCCCTTTTCACACTTCTGTAATTCTTATTGCTAGTAATCTTTCTATCCAGACCCTTTCTACCTTCCTGGATTTATCCTTACATGGTTAGTAATTATCAACTAGCTTTTCTGGTGTTTCTGGTCACTTTATAGGCCAGTGTAATGTTTGGTTGGAAGTTGAAGTATAAGGACGAATTTTATTCTAAATTCAAAGGGTGAAAATGGCCATAGTCTTAGAGATTCCACGAATCTACTAGTTTGCTTGGCTTTTTCTGTTTTTCAGTTTTATTCCACATTTTGGTCCACTTGTTCCCAAATTTTTCACTCTGATTCCTTTGAGAGTGTTCAGCAGTGGTATTGCCTTGCAAAAATTTGCTTCAACCTAATATATATTGTGAAGTGATGAATGTCTTTAACCAGATTTCATTATTGTAAATAATACTGCACTGACAATATGCTGTGACATACATAATTTTTCTTTGTGTGAATTGACTCTATGGAATAAATTCCCAAGAGAAGGATTCCTTAGTCAAAGAAGTCTATCTCTTTCCTGTCTTTTGCAACATTGTTCCATATAACTTTCTACAAGAACTGTATTGACTTGCAGTGTGTATCATTTTTATTATGAAGACACTGATTTTACTTTAACCTGTTAATAATTACATTTTCATTTTAAACAACTATGCTCAATGTTAAATGATTACCTCATTGTATTTGTATGTATTCTATTTTGTTGTTGTTGTTGTTGTGTGACATAGAGTTGAAACTGACCCAGTGCTGAGCCTCCAGTGACTTTTCAGAGGCAGTAATGCACACGGGAGGAGATGGTCCATCCTGCTGTGGAGCAGCTGATGGATCTGAACTGCATCTCTTTGGGATTTTCGCACAGATTCTTAACACTAGACCACCAGAACTCCGTATAGTTAGCAATAAACATGTATTCATATATTCATTGTCTAATGGTATGCTTTTATTAGCGTGACTTCTTTGGACCCATAGTTTTATTAGTGTTTTGATATTTTGCTCTTTTCCTAAAAAAAACAAAATCACTTTGAAAGCGAGTCTTGTATACTGTACATTAACCCTGTCTACAGTTACTGAACATGAAATTATTTCTTTATGTTCAATTTCTTTTTCAGATGACAATCAGAACAAAACACATGATAAAAAAGAAAAGAAGATGGTAGTCCAGAAGCCACATGGTACCATGGAGTACACTGTAAGTATGGACTGGATGCTGAAACATTTTTAATGATTATAGATATGTGTGTTTCTCTGTGATACATTCCCTTACCTACATTTCTGTCCCTTGTGTAGCTACCAAATAATTGTAAAAACAGTGGCAGTAGAAGTGGTAGTGACTAACAAACTAATTCCATAAGGAGAAAGAGCCCATATCGACATCAACAACACAAATCAATTGCTGAGTGGTCAAACAAACCTCCACACTCCTCTGCACCTTCTTCTATCAACATCGACATCCCTCCTAAGTTCTCACTACTACTAAATCTGCTGGTCCATTACAGTGGCTACATAGACTTGAAAGATAAACTCACAATTCTAGGGATTATTAGGGGAGTGTTGTTTGTTAATGTTAGGGGCTGTCAAGCGACCCTATGAACAACCTTCTTGAAACCTGCACTATCCTGTGCCAACGTCATCATTCCTGACACACAAGAGCCGATGGCTGAAGTCACAGTGTCAGTCCATCTCTCTGGGAATCTTCCTCGTTTTCTCTGGCCCTCCGTCTTTCCAGGCATGGTGTCCCTTTTCAAGGAATAGTCTCACTTAGCTACATGTCCAAAGTATGAAAGATGAAGCTTCATCATTCCTGCCTGCAAGGAGCACACTGACTGTAGCCTTTCCAGGACATACCTCTTAATTCTTTTGACAGCCCATGGGATATTCAGTACCCTTCTCTAACACCATCTATATTCATTGTCTAACTCTCTGATGTGTAGTAGGTGATTAAGAGGCTACCCTATTAAATAATCTAATACATCTCAATAGAGGAGTTTAATACCTATTGTAAATAATTTCTTTTGCCTCTATGCTGGAGAGAGGATGAAAGGCACCCAAGCGTCAAGGACTCTCCTTCATTGGGTCGCTATGAGTTGCCTGCGACTCGACGGCACTTAACAACAACAACTATGCTTTTTATCAGACATTCTTATCTACTTTTGGCTGAAATTACTTATGTCAGTGACTACCATTTCATACATCCCAAAATCTTAGTCAGCTGCATACTCAGCTATCCATTTGTATCTTCATGCTTGCTTGGTTCTTTAGAAAAAGCACTGGCCCCTTCATCTGTATATCTGTACAGATCACATCCTGTCTCCATAGCATCTTCCCTTTACTCTCCATATTCATTCTTACCTTCTCTGACAATTCTACAAGTCTAGGCCAGGTTCCTTCATTCTCCTGTCTCTTACTGAGAACCAGGTTCTTTCACATAGTTTATTTCAGTTTAACATTACTGGTGAATTCCATGGAATTGCTATTTTAATACCTACTTCCTGTGTTAATTACTAATCCATGAAGAGAGAGTAGAGCTCTTTTTTTATTCAACATTATATGCCTGGAGCCCAACAGTCTGTAAACATTCAATAGTATTGCTTTAAAAGGTGAATAACATTTGTCTATGATTTCACTCTTACACAGTGTATCATAAGTTCACCTTGTCACTGTTCTATGAGCCCCTTGAGTTGGGAGCTTTATATCATTTATTCTAGGCATTGAACAATGTGGGCATTAAGTTGCAAATCTGCTTTAATTTACCATGAAATAGCATTGTCAACAAATGTTTACTTCACCTTCTGAGAAGAAAGCAAGTTCCATTGCCAGTACCTAGTTCTGCTTCCCTTAATGTCTGTTTATATTTGATATTGCTATGGATTGGTGGAAGAGTCATCAACAACCTGCATTATTCAGATGACACAACCCTGCTTACTGAAACTGAGGAGGACCTGAAGCGCTTGCTGCAGGAGTTCAAGGACTGCAGTCTCCGATATGGACTGAAGCTCAATATCAAGAAAACAAAGATTCTAACCACTGGACAAATTGGCAGCATCAGTATGAATGGTGAAGAGAATGAGATAGTTAACAGTTTTAGTTTACTTGGCTCCACAATCAACACCCTTGGTAACAGCAGCCAGGAAGGAATCAAAAGACGGATTGCATTGGGAAAGTCAGCTGTGAGGAACCTCTCAAGAGTACTGAAGAGCAACGATGTCAGACTGGAGACTAAGGTGTGCCTGATCCGGGCTATAGTCTTCACAATTACATGCTATGCATCAGAGAATTTGACAGTGAATAGAGTTGATAGAAAGAGAATTGATGCCTTTGAGTTGTGGTGCTGAAGAAGAGTATTGAATATACCATGGACGGCTAGGAGAACAAACAGGTTTGTTTTGGAGAGGGTGAAGCCAGAAGGCTCTTTGGAGTCAAGGATTCTGAAGCTTCGTCTGACATACTTTGGGCATGTTGCAAGGAGGGACTGGTCCTTGGAGAGGGACATCATGTTTGGCAGAGTGGAGGGGCAGCAAAGGAGAGGAAGACCTTCAATAAGATGGATCGATTCTATGACTGGAGCGGTGGGAATAAGTGCATTTGAAATGGCTAGGATGGCACAGGATAGGAGAGCATTTAGAGCTCTTGTGCATAAGGTCACTATGAGTCGCAAGTGACTCGATGGCACATAACAACAACAACAACAACAATGCCATGCCAGGTCCTTATAAAGCAAGCAGCAAGACTTGATCACTTACTGGCATTTACTTTGAATGGTAAATAATCTCAAAGTCCCTCTGACCTCTCACAGAAGAACCCTGGCACTGGGATTTCATGCTCATTGCTCTGTGAACAGATGTAGGCTGTGTGTGTGTGTGTGTGTGTGTGTGTGTGTGTGTGTGTAAGAGAGAGAGAGAGAGATTTGTGGTGCTATTCCTTCCCGAAAGCATCTGGGATGGTTGTTTCTCACATTGACATTATCAGACTGCAAAAGGATCTGATGCATCATGGGAGAGTCCAAGTCCGACTACTGCTCACTTCATAAAGGGGAACTGTTCCCATCAGTAGTAGCCATAGCAACAAACAGCTACTTGGTCAGACATGTCATGCTTCATGCTCCTGAACCTATTTCTACCAATCATTGAGTGTGAATCTGTTGTTGATTCACAGATTTTACTCACTGTTGTGGGGTTTATTAAGGAACAAGATTGGACAATGGGGGAAGCAAAGAGTTATCACACAATGCATGTCCAGATTTAGCCTGGTAATCCCAAATCAGACTAAGATGGTGCAATTCTTCAATTAGTGATAGTCTGGGTTCAGTTCTGCAGCACAAATTCAGGAAGCCTCAATTATGCAGCAGACTTTACCTCAAAGCAGTTTTAAGTCAGCTTTTCCTTCAATCATCCAGCAAGCAAAACTTTTTAATCACAGAGTTCCACTGGTTATACCATTCCACAGCCTCTCCACAGCAGTGCCAGTTTCCACCCTCTCTCTCTGTCCACTACTGTCACCAGGGTACCTCAAAGTGTAGAAAGCTCACTCTCTTATATTGGTCCCACAGCTGTTAATGATGTGCAAGACCATGTCTCTGCAGTTAAGGTAGTTGGAGATCATTCCCCCACAACAGAGGCTAAAGCAGTGACTAGAAAAGTCAATATTTGGGGCTTCTTACAACACATAGACATATGCTGTTGGTATACTTTAACTCTCACTAGGTAATCAAGAATACCAGGTTAATTTATTTTTTTATAATAATCATATTAATTCTAAAGCAATTACTGTTAAGAACCATGTGTGTTCATAATAGAAAACATAAAAACAATTGAAACTTTCAGCAATACCAGGAGTTGGTTCTTCAAAAAGGTCAATAAAATTGACAAACCACTAGCAAAGCTAACATAGGAAAAGAATGAAAAGACACAGATAATCCGAATAAGAAATGAAAGGGGCAGTGTTCACAACAGAGCCAACTGAAGTAAAAAAGTTAACAATAAAATACTATGAAAAACTATATTCCAAAGAAAGGTGACCCAACAGAGCATGGAGATTATCAAACAATATTACTAATATCACATGTAAGTAAGATTCTGCTGAAAATCATCCAGAATTACTGGAGAAGTACATCAACAGCTGACAGATGTACTGGCTGGATTTAGAAGAGGTCGTGGGACTAGTAATATTACAGCTAATGTTAGATGGATCTTAGCTAAAAGCAGTGAGTACCAGAGCAATGTCTATCTGTATTTTATTGACTGTGCAAAGGCATTTGACTGTGTGGATCACCACAAACTGTAGCTGACTCTGAGAAGAATGGGAATCCTAGAACATTTGATTGTGTTTATGCAAAACCTATACTTGGACCAGGAGGCAGTCATCAGAACAGAGCAAAGAGACACTGCATAGTTCAAAATTGGGAAGGGTGTACGCCAGGGATATAGCCCGTCTCCATATCTTTTCAGTCTGTATGAAGATTAGATCATCTGGGAGGCTGGGCTGTATGAGGAGGAATGTGACATAAGGATTGGAGGAAGATTCATCAACAGACTGCATTTGCAGATGACACAACTCTGCTTGCTGAAACTGAGGAGGACCTGAAGCACTTGCTGCAGAAGATCAAGGACTACAGCCTCCTATATGGACTGAAGCTCAACATCAAGAAAACAAAGATTCTCACCACTGAGCTGATTAGCAGGATTATTATAGATGGTGAAGAGATTGATATTGTTAACAACTTTAGTTTCCTTGGCTCCACAGTCAACGCTTTTGGCACCAGTGGCCAGGAAATCAAGAGACAATTAGTATTGAGAAAGTCTCATCTCATGGACCTCTCCAGATGAAAAAGACTGATAACCCATTTACAAAATGGGCAAAAGACGTGAAAAAAACTTTTAACTGAGAAAGACATTCAGGTAACCAACAGACACATGAATTAGTGCTCAAAAATCACTGTCAATAAGAGAGATGCAAATCAAAACCCCAGAGATACTGTGTCACCCCAGTAGTTTTGTAGGTCAGCAAATAATAATGTTGGAGAGGATATGGAGAGGTGGCAACTCCCATACACTGTTGGTGGGATTGTAAAATGGCACAACCACTATGGAAGACAGTTTGCCATTTCCTCAAAAAGTTAAATGTAGAAACTCCATATGACCTAGCTATTCCACTACGAGGAATATTCCCTAAGGAAATTAGAACTGAGACACA